CATGGCTCAGTGGTTGACCTATGAACCAGGAGGTCACTGTTTGATTCCTGGTCAGGGCACATGCCCTGGTTGTGGGCTCCATCCCCAGTATGGAATGTGCGGGAAGCAGCCAATCAATGATTCTCTCTTATCATTGATGTTTCTATCTCTCTCTCGCTCTCCCTTTCTTTCTGAAATCAATAAAAAATATGTTTAAAAATAAAAGAAGAAGAAAGAAAAACAGTGGGTTAAACAACATTAAACAAAATCTTTTAAGGCAAAACTTCTTGGAGCCTTTAATATAGTCGTGCATGTCATAAGTCTCTAGGAGGGAGGTAATAGCTTCCTGAGCACTTGTGACCACACATCCTTTTTACAGTGGTTATGTTTGGAGGACAAAGTTTGGGAAACATTGATATTATAAATTTCTGAAAGTAAAGGTATTCCTTAAGAGGAGTTGTGGTAGGTGTTGTGTGGTCAGACGAGTAGGTGCTAGAACAAATTATAGGGGTTGGCTGATACCTCCTAGATGGGAAGCAAACTTTACCACTCAATTTCTGACAACAACAAAATAATAATAATTACCTTTAAAAAAGGCGGGGGGAGACTAAAGTTAGTAATGGGATCAAGAAAGTATGAAAAAAGTAAAATCCCCAAACTTACTTCCCTGTTACTATTGTTGCAGAGTGCAATATACTTTCCCAGAAATCAGCATCTGTCTTAGCTTGGAGTCCGCTGAGCCTAATTAAAAGGGAACCATGACTTGCCCCTTCAGATTATTTAAGGAATGAGCAGAGTGTAATTAAAATGAAGGCTCTTGAGGTTCAGGAAGTCTCATGAGATGTAGTTTCTGGAGGCCCTGGGAGATGCATAGAGAATGAATCAGAGACTTGTGCATAATAAATCAGGAACTCGACCCAATTTGGGAGCATAATCTGACTTCAGGATAGAAGTACTTTGCTGCCTCTTGGACAGGGATGCATGTTGTGAACAATACTGAGGATATGTTGCAAATGACTTCAGGCCTCCTGGAAGCCTATGGGTTGCACATAAGAAAATATCTAGAATATAGTTTAAATACAACTCCCTAAACCCTCTTTATCTTCCTGAAGGAATCAATGTTAAACAGGGGCCCACTCTTTTGTGTGCTCAGGGTTACAAGCCAGTAAGTGGAGCCAGATTTAAACTCAAGTAGTCGTGTCTCCAGAGCCACACTCCGAATCATTTTATTATACTGCAACACTTTTATACAGAGGGTGTATAATCTTTTAAATTGAATGGACTTCATAATTTATGTATAATTCACTGTACTGTTCTCATTTATTTTTTCATTTCACTGAGAACTAGCAAAAACTTTATCTTGGAGTGGCATCAGGCTACCGGGTCTTGCTTTCAGCATGCCAAGCAAGCATTCTTTTAACACAACTTAGCACACAGGCACCTTTCAGGAAAGTTCATAAAAAATAGAACATATTAATGAATTCCTAAGTAGAAGGTAGACAATGAAGATTATAATTGGGGATGGTTGAGACACAGAGAGAGCCTTTTCCTTGCTCAAATTTCAATTGTGTGTAGGGTGAATTGGCTGAGACCCATGAATACCTTTGGGGATTCCTATGGAAGAGATCCTGAGGCTTAAGAGACAGGAACAGCCGAAACCCTTTTTCACAAGACCCATTAGCACAGTGGTTCTCAACCTTGGCTGCACATTAGAATCACCTGGGAATCTTTTTAAAATCCTGATTTCTGGGCCTCATCCTCCGGAAATTCTGTTTCTTTGTTATGGGGTGAAGCCACAACATTAATAACAAAGAAACAGAATTTCCAGAGGATGTGCAGCCAAGGTTGAGAACCACTGCATTAGCACGTCAAGTCGTAGTGAAGATTGGTAGAAATGACAATTGTGCAAGTCCTATTTGCCCAAACCAAATGCTGTTCAGTGAAATGCATTTATTCTCTATATTTTTATTTATATACTAGAGGCCCAGTGGGGGGGGGGTGTCCTCAGCCTGGCCTGCACCCTCCCCAATCCAGGACCCCCTTAGAGGATGTCCGACTGCCGGTTTAGGCCCCCAACTTCCCTCCACTGCCAGTCTGATCTCACCCCTAACTGCCTCTCCTCAACCCCCACCATCATGGCTTTGTCCAGAAGGAAATAGGACGTCCAGAAAATGGCAGGTTGACCTGGTCTAATTAGCATATTACCCTTTTATTAGTAAAGATTTTTTGTTAATCCTCATGTGAGGATCCTTTTTTCCATTGTTTTTTAGAGTGGGAGAGGGAGGGAGGGGGAAGGGAGACACATCCGTTTGTTGCCTCCAGCACACCTGTTACAGGGCCGGGATTAAACCTGCCATCCAGGTATATGTCCTTGACCAGAAACCGAAGTTGAGACCCTTCAGTGTGTGTGTGTGTGTGTGTGTAATGTATATGTATTTGATTTCAGAGGATAGAAACATCAATGAGAATCATTGATCGGCTGCTTCCCCCCCTCCCCCCTCCCATTCACCTCACACCAGGGATCGAGCCCGAAACCCAGGCACATGCCCTGAACTGTGACCTCCTGGTTCATGGGTCAATGCTCAACCACTTATTTTTATTTTGGAAACATCAATCTGTTGTTCCACTCATGTATTCATTGATTCTTGTATGTGACCAGGAATCAAACCGGAAACCTTGGTATATGCTATAACCAACTGAGCTGCCCAGCCAGGGCCTATTTTTCAAGTTTATTAATCAAGGCTTTTATTAGTGTTAACAAAAAATGTGAAAGACAATTTTTTTAAACATGAACCTTTAGAAGAAGAAACACTGATGTGATAGGGAAACATCAATCCATTGCCTTCTGTACATATCCTGACTGGGAACTAAGCGAACCTGTGACCTTTCAGTGTAAGGAACAATGGGTCAGCCACACCAGCCAGGGGAAGAACAATCTTTAAAAATCCAGCTTTAGCCCTGACCAGTTTGGCTCAGTGTCTAGACTAGAGCCTCGGCCTGTGGACTGAAAAGTCCCAGGTTCGATTCTGGTCAAGGGCATGTACCTTGGTTGAATCCCCAGTAGGGGGTGTGCAGGAGGCAGCTGATCGATGTTTCTCTCTCATGGATGTTTCTCTCTATGCCTCTCCCTTCCTCTCTGTAAAAAAATCAATATAAAAAAAAAATCCAGCTTTACTATCCAAAGGTCTGTTTTTCCAATTATTTTATTGCATATTCAGCAAAAACCTGCTTAATAAAAGCACTAGTTTGGACATTCTGAAGGGAAAGAAACCCAACGTAATTTCATGGACTTTATGAGGTATGTCTGAGTTCATAGGACACTTGGATTCCAATCCTTGGTTCCCCGCTAACAGGAACTAAGCATTCAGCAAGTTAACCAACTGTGTAATGATCAATGGGACTAGAGGTCACCTTCCTCAAATCTAAGGAAGGCTTTAAAAAAAATTCTGCCCTAGCTGTTTGGCTCAATGGATAGAGCACCAGACCTGCAGAGTCAAAGGCACATGTGGGTGGGTGGGGAGTGTTTGCGGCTCAATCCCCAGTAGGGGGCATGCAGGAGGCAGCTAATCAATGATTCTCTCATCATTCACGTTTCTCTCCCCCTTCTTCTCTGAAATCAACAAAAATGTATTTTTAAGAGGGATAAAAACATCAATGGAAGAGACATTGATCAGCTGCCTCTTGCAACCTGGGTATTTGCCCTGGCAGGGAACTAAACTGGGTTCCTATTGATTCATGAGTTGATGCTCAACCAGTGAGCCACATCAGCCAGGCAGGCAGGCTTTTTATAAAAGCTTGATTTTTTCATTACCACCCCCAAGGGTTTGATATATAAGTGCTTTTTCCAGTGTCTAACTTAAAAAAACCCAGAGTTAAGTACTCCAAAGTTTTTATGCTCAAAATGTTTGACTGTTGCTAAGGTAGAATTCCTAAAATTAAGCCCCAAGTCATTCTGAGTGAGGTACACCTGGACTACCAAGGGTGTATTTCTAGGCCTGATGCTTGGCTTTCTGTATTTCAACAATGCACCTCTGGACACCTCCCCATCACCCCCACACACACCATCCAATTTTGTTCAAAGTTGAGAAACCACCATATCACTGGTTACACTACAGGGAATTGTTTGTAAAGGGGAAAGAGGTTGAGAACTTAAAAATCACTGTAAGAATCCAAAGGTTCTTATTCTCTCAAAATTCTCTTCCTGGCCCTAACCAGTTTTTCTCAGTGGATAGAGCGTCGTCCGGCAGACTGAAGGGTCCCAGGTTGATTCCAGTCAAGGGCATGTACCTTGATTGCAGGCACATCCCCAGTAGGGAGTGTGCAGGAGGCAGCTGATGGATCTCTCTCTCACAGATGTTTCTCTCTATCCCTCTCCATTCCTCTGTAAAAAAAAATCAGTAAAATATATTTTTAAAAATTCTCTTGTTATTAGAAATATACTGCCTAGTGTTATCGGTATGGCAGCATAAGAACTGCTTGTGTTAGCTTTAGATAAGAATGAAGACTTTTATCAAACCCCAAACTAGAAAATTTCATTTGCTGTTGCAATCTTGCCTTTCTCCTTATAATAATGTAGAGCTATTAGTCATTAAGATTGATTGTTGTTAGGACCCACCTTCATTTGCTGCCTAAAACACCAGTGTCTGCAAGTGGCCTTAGATCAGAACCTTTTTAACTCAAGTTCTTTCATGCAATGTTTCTCATCAGCCAGCCTTCTTTCAAATTTAAGGGCTCCAACTTGATTCTTGGCTCTTGACTTCACATATAACAGACAGGATTAGGTTTCCATTTCACTACCTGAAGCACTTGAGTGCAATGCACTATTGAGCAAGAAAAACAGTCAACTGGTAATTATAAGACTGAGACCAAGTTCCTATACCTTGGCACACCCTATGTTTACCAAAGTCCTGACTTAATTTTGGTCACTGACAATCTCAAAATTAAATCCCTTCCTTAAACACCGTTTTAACCAGTTAGGAATCCCCACATCACTACATAATTTCATGACGACAGACACCAAATATGCTACCATGCAACAAAACTTTTATTAACATTTTGAACAGATTCAGTTATTACTGAACTGGTAATTTCTAAACTTAAATTGGGGCAAATGGCTAGAATGCAGAGTAGTGCCATCATTGGCACTATGAATGCAAAACTGAAGAATTAACAGCCACCCCTCAGACGGAGGACCAGGTGCAGGGTGGACTCTTTCTGGATGTTGTAGTCAGAAAGAGTGCGGCCATCTTCCAGCTGCTTGCCAGCAAAGATGAGCCTCTGCTGGTCAGGGGGGATGCCTTCCTTATCCTGGATCTTGGCTTTACATCCTCAATGGTGTCACTGGGCTCCACCTCCAGGGTGATGGTCTTGCCGGTCAGGGTCTTCACGAAGATCTGCATACCACCCCTCAGACGCAGGACCAGGTGCAGGGTGGACTCTTTCTGGATGTTGTAGTCAGAAAGAGTGCGGCCATCTTCCAGCTGCTTGCCAGCAAAGATGAGCCTCTGCTGGTCAGGGGGGATGCCTTCCTTATCCTGGATCTTGGCTTTAACATTCTCAATGGTGTCACTGGGCTCCACCTCCAGGGTGATGGTCTTGCCGGTCAGGGTCTTCACGAAGATTTGCATTTTGACCTACAGAGTTCAAAAAGCAGAAGTTAATATATCATTTCAGGATCTTTACATTTATTACTTTTATATCTAATCAATTCTTCAAAACTTAACTCTTCTTCCAAATGCCTTAAATCATATACATCTCTCACAAATCTCCAATTTTTATGAAACTAGACAAGTTAATCAACCCAACATTCCTTTAAAAAAAGTTTAACCCTGCCCTGGCCGGTTCGGCTCAGTGGTTACTGTTGGCCTCTGCACCGAAGGGAGGATTCCTGGTGAAGAGGATACACTGATCTCCCCCCTCCTTCCACTCTCTCTGAAAAGCACTAGGAAAAATATCCTCGGGTGAGCATTAACAACAAAAAAGATTTTGTGGCACAGTGAAAAATCTGTGGAAGGGCGGGGGAAGAGACAGAGAACATCTATGAGACAGACACATCCATCTGTTGCCTCCCGCCCCGGGCCCCAATCCGGCAGGGATCCACTCTGCAACAGAGGTTCTTGCTCTTGTGCCCTTGACCAGATTGGAACCCGAGACCCTTCAGTCCGCAGGCGGACGTTCTAACCGCCGGCTAGGGCAATATCTCCTTTTAAAAGACAAAAAAAAAAAAAAATCATTACCCAAGGATATATTTTTTTGTTGAATTTTAGAAAGGGAGGAGAGAGGAAAGTAGAGAAACATCCATTCGAACCCCTGGGTTCGCGCCCACCACCTTTTTTTGGTGTACGGGGTTCCCAATCAACCGAATCACCCGGCCAGGGCTAAATACGAAATTTTAATTTAGTCAAGGCTTCAACTTATACTGTAGTATCGAAATTGCTTTGTAAATTTACCATCCAGAACTTTCTTCCTTAACCCCAGAATTTCCCCAAAACTTAAGCATAGCACCTAAAATAAAATTTTAAAAAACCTACAGGACACGGAAAATAAAAATTCCCTTTTAAACGGAGCTGGTAAGCGACATCTGTGTTGCGATTCGAAATGAAAAGGTTTCTAGAAGTCACACTACCTTTTTTCCGCCTTCCCCCTCTGAAACAGACACGATGGAACCGCCATCGGTTAAGCGTCTGTTGGCCCCTCTCCGCGCGCGCCAACCGCCCCCGCTCCCTTCACGTAAACAAGGCCCACCTTCCGGAAAGGCCCAGCGACGCGACGCCGCGTCAGCTCCTCCCCTCCCCCCACCAAGGCGCACCCAGCCCAAGACCCGGCCAGTTTCCTCTCACTTCAGTTCCCTCGGCACCGCCCTCCCTCCAACCCCGGCCCCCGCCAGGTCTCGAAGGCTGCGGGCCAGTACCTGTTAGCGAGTGCGAAAATACCGCAAGTCCAAACCCGTAGAGTCTCCTCAACAACGACACAGCCCCTACAGCGTCTGGCGCGTCTATAAGTTCCGGCTAGGCGGAGCTGAAATTTATGCAACGTCTGTTGTAGACTAATCACTCCTACGTAGCCGCCGTGTCCGTGCGCCACTGAAAATAGTTCTCTCGGCCGCACCTCCCGCGACGCAGTTAGATCTTTCCAAGTAGGCCCCAAACTCCTCAGAATCTGGAAAAGGGGCCCTAAAAATTCTGCTACTCTCTATTCCAGGCTGTCCTTCTCCTCCTTTAGGAAAAAGTAGGAAAGTTATCAGGCGGATGAATTCGAGTTGAGGGAACCGTCCTCGAAAGCTCTGGAAACTTCCTTGCGGCGCCGGCGCTGATTGGTGAGGCGGGTGAAGACGAGGCTGGCGGTGATTGGTTGCGGGCTCGGCGCTCCGCTGTTGCTGGGCTCCGGGCAGGGAGAGCCGACGTTGCTAAGTGACTGAGTGCGCGTGCGCCGCAGAGGCGCGCCTCCGGGACAGCAGGGCGTTTCCGGTCGGAGGTGGGGGAGGGGTCCTCCGCTCCTGCCTCGGAATACTAGACCTGAAAACCGCGCGTTTCGGTTTTAAGCGGAGGGAGCAGGGGGTTCCGCGGAGGCTTTTCCGAGAAGGCCGCCCCGTCTGGCCCGGAGGTCTCGGGAGCCGGGCGGGGGCCGTGTCCGCTGTGAAGCGCAAGCCCACCGCCCGAGGCCTGAGGAACCCGCGCCCTTACGCCGGCGAGTTCTTAGTGTTGCTCTTGGTTGTGGAGCTTTCCTCGCGCCTCTTTACAGTCGGTGCCTTTGTTGCCGGCCCCTCACCGCCGCCAGGGGTTCCCGGACCGCCCCTGCCTCAGTGGGAGGGGGCCGGCCCCGGGCGCCATCCTTGTCTTAGCGTATAAGTGAATTTATGCGAGAGGCCTTGATGCGTTGTGAGAAGCCAGTTTATTAAAGCAATTAAAGCTGCACCTTCACTGAAAAAGCAAGTCAAGCAAATTGTGCGTCCGGCTTGAGGCACAGACGGGGGAGGTGCTGCACGCCCTCCGGTCTGTGGCCTCGGCCGCCTCCGCTGGCGTCGGGTGCAGGTGGTTCTCGGGCCCCTTGTGCTGACTGTGGCCTTCCCGCAACTCCATCCTCCCCGCTGGCTCCCCGCTGGGGGTAAAACTGCCCCTTTCCTTCCCCTCCCCCTCCCCCTCCCCCTCCCCCTCACCCTCCCCCTCACCCTCACCCTCACCCTCACCCTCACCCTCACTCTCACCCTC